CTCTCTCTCTCTTGCTCTCGCTCTCGCTCTCGCTCTCTCCTCCCACCTTCTTCCCAGTTCACATATGCTCTCTAAAAAGAAAAAGGAGAAAGGAAGATAAACCCAGAGAAATCCAGGCCAAGATACAGTCAAACTTCTGAAAACTAAAAACAAAGAAAAAAGTCTTGAAAGAGAGAAAAAATACCTTTACCTATCAAAGAACAACAATTACAGTAACGGTGGGTTTCTCATCATAACCTGTGAAGGTCACAGGAAAGTGGCATAATGATTTTCAGGTGCTGAAAGAAAAGAACTGCCAACCCAGAATTCTTCATTCAGCAAAAGTATTCTTCAGGGGCGCCTGGGTGGCTCAGTCGGTTAAGCATCCGACTTCGGCTCAGGTCATGATCTCACGGTTCATTGGTTCGAGCCCCGAGTCGGGCTCTGTGTTGACAGCTAAGAGCCTGGAGCCTGTTTCAGATTCTGTGTCTCCCTCTCTCTCTGACCTTCCCCTGCTCACGCTGCCTCTCTCTCTGTCTTTCAGAAATAAATAACACATTTTAAAAAAAGTATTCTTCAGAAGCAAAGGGGAAATCAAGGCATTCTCAGATGAAGGAAAATTGAAAGAACTGGTCAGTAGTACACCAACACTTAAAGAATGGCCAAAGGAAGTTTTCCAGAAAGAAAGAAGCATAAAATAAAGGATCTACAAACATCAGGAAGTAAGAGGAACAAAGAAAGAGCAAAACATACGGGTAAATACAACACGGTCTGCTTCTTCTCTTGAGTTTTCTAAATTATGTTTCATGGTTGAATGAGAAAATAAAACACTGTCTAATACGTTTATCAATGTATGCAGAGGAAATGTTTAGGACAATTATAAACTGAGGAGGAGGTAAAGGGACATAAAGGAAGGCAAAGTTTTCACATTTTTCTCTATTAGGTAAAATGATGACACCAGTAGACTGCGGTAAGTTATGTATATACCTATACAAACAGATACACACACACAAACCTGTACGTAGGGGCACCTGGGTGGGTCAGTCAGTTGAGCTTCCGACTCTTGATTCTGGCTCAGGTCATGATCTCACGGTTTGTGGGTTTGAGCCCCACATCAGGGGGGAGTGTGGAGCCTGCTTAGGATTCTCTTTGTCTCTCTCTGTCCTTCCCCTGCTCTCTCTCTCTCTCTCTCTCAAAATAAATAAACTTAAAAAATAAAAATAAAAAACCTGTAGATAAATCAAATTCTTAAAAAAAACATTCAAGTAAGCCACAGGAAGATAAAAATATAAAAACAGAGAAACAAAAAGAACAAACAGAAAACATCCAAAATGGGGATGACCAAAATGTCACTCAACAGGTGAATGGTTCAAAAAACTGTGCTACGTCCATACCATGGACTCATGTTCAACAATAAAAAGGAGAAAATTGTTGATACACACAACAACTTGGATGATTATCTAGGGAATTACGATGATTAAAAAAAGATAATTTCAGAGGCACCTGGGTGGCTCAGTCAGTTAAGCGTCTGACTTCGGCTCGGGTCATGAGTTCATGGTTTATGAGTTCGAGCCCGACACCGGGCTCTTTGCTGACAGCTCAGAGCCTGGAACCTGCTTCAGATTCTGTGCTTCCCTTTCTCTGCCCCCCCCGCCCTCCCCCGCCCCCCCCCCCGCTTGTGCTCTGTCTCTCTTTCTCTCTCAAAATAAATAAAAATTTTAAATAAATTTTTAATAAAAAAATGTTTAAGATAATCTCAAAAGGTCACATACTGTATGATTCCATTTATATAACATTCTTAAAATGACAAAAAATTGTAGAGATGAACAGATTAGTGGTTTCTGGGAGTTAGAGATGGGGTGGGTGTAACTATAAAGGGCGAGCATGAGAGATATCTTTGTGGTAATGGACTAGTTCTGTATCTTGATTACAGTGGTGGTTATACAAGTCTACACATGATAAAATGGCTTAGAACTTAAACACAAACATTGCGCCAGTCCCAAATTCCTGGTTTTAATACTGTATTCCAGCTATGCAAGATGTAACTGCTGATATAAAGTTTCAGTTATGTAAGACAAATAAGTTCTAGAAGTCTGCAGTACGGCATTGTGCCTATAGTTAACGATTCTGCATTTTATGCTTAAAAATTTGTTAAGAGAGTAGATCTCATGTTAAGTTTCTTACCAGAAAACACCAACCAAGAAAAGGGACAGGAGGAAACTTTCAGAGGTGATGGATATGCTTATTGCCTGATTGTGGCCTTAGTTTCACAGGTATATGCATATCTTCAGACTCATCAAATTGTACACATTAAGTGTGTCCAGTTTGGGGCATATCAATTTTTCCTCAATAAAGCTGTTTAAAAAAAACAAAGTGTAACCATTGTGAGAAAATGTGCAAATAGTACAGGGGTGTCTCTGTACTACTTTTCCATCTTCCTGTGAATCTATAATTACATTGAAATAAAAACTTTCAGAAAAGGTAACCTCAAAAAGCAGAGCTATACAATCATTATGTATGGGAAGACTCAACATCAAGATGTCAATTCTCTTCCAATTGATCTATAAATTTAAATCAGTTTCAATCAAAATCATAATGGGATTTTTCAATGGATCTTAAGCTGATTCTAGAATAGACTAGACAAGACGATTTTAAAGAACAGCAGAGGGCAGATTATCAAGACTTATTATCATGTTATAGCAATTAAAACAGCGTGGTATTGGCAGATGGATAAATAGATCAGTGGAATATAAGAAAAGCCTAAAAATAACTCTTACAAATCCACGGGAAGTAGGTTTATAACAGACGTTGATTATAAATCATGGAAGATATGATATAGACTATTTGATAAATGCTGTTAAAATTATCCATGTGAGAAAAGATAAAATGTGATAACATCTTCAGATCCTACCTAAAAATTAATTCAAAATGAATTGAATATCTAAATGGGTTTTTTAAGTTCAATTTTTTTTTTTAATATTTTTATTTATTTCTAGGAGAAAGAGAGAGAGAGACAGTGTGAGCAGGGGAGGGTCAGAGAGAGGGAGACACAGACTCTGAAATAGGCTCCAGGCTCTGAGCTGGCAGTCAGCACAGAGCCCGACGCGGGGCTCGAACCCACAAACCGCGAGATCATGACCTAAGCGAAAGTCGGACACTTAACCGACTAAGCCACCCAGGCGCCCCTAAGTTCATTTATTTAAGTAAGCTCTACACCTAATGTGAGGCTAGAACTCACAACCCCAAGATCAAGAGTTGCACGCTCTTCCAGATGAGTGCATGCCAGGTGCCCATCCGCCAGGTGCCCCAAATATCTAAATGTTAAAAGCAAAATTTTATAACATTTTGATGCAAATATAGAATACCTTTATGATCTTGGAGTAAGAAAGAATTTGTTAATCACACACCAAAAAAAAAAACCTCACAAATTTTAATAGAAAAGACTGATAAATGTGACTGCATTAAATATTAAAATGTCAGGGTGCCTGGGTGGCTCAGTCAGATAAGTGTCTGACTTCAGCTCAGGTCATGATCTCACTGTTTCATGAGTTCAAGCCCCACATTGTGCTCTCTGCTGTCAGCACAGAGCCTGCTTGGGATTATCTTTCTCCCTCTCCCTCTGCCCCTCCTCTGCTCTCTCTCTCAAAAATAAAATAAACATTAAAAGTATAATTAATTATTAAAATGCCTACAGAAAAAAATGACACTGTGAAGGCACACTCTACAGTGGGAGAAAACATCTGCTGCACACAAAATTGAAAGAGAAACTGTATCCAAAGATATATAATAAATACATTTTTTAAAGGCAACCAATCCAAAAGAAAAATGGGCAAAGAATACCAACAGGCAATGGACAGAAGGAACTGGAATGATCTAGAAATATATGAAAAGATGTTAACCTTACTAGTATTCAGGGAAATACTGGTCAGATTGGCAAATTTAAGACTCAGAAGTTGACAGTTGTATGGTAACATGGGAGCACATAGACCACTGGTGGGGCTGTTACTAAGCAATTGGAAACAACCTAAACATCCATCAACTGGGGAACGAATAAATTGTGTCATGGTTGTACTACAGGTTGCTGTTCAGCGGTGAAACGACCTAGCTCAGTGTGTACCTACACTGACTCATCTCAGGAACATTGAGAATGGGTTGACAGAAAGTAGGAAATAAAGAGGACCTCTACTTTTCCTTAAGTATTTTATAATTCCTTTTATTTTAAAAAATGGAAGTCAAAGTAAATACAGTAGCGTGTTTTCACTCTGCACAGCAAGAACACAAGTGTTTGCTGTATTCTTCTCTGCACTTTCTTGTCTTTTGAAAGTTCTCAATAGAAGTGAAAGGTGTGGCATCAGATGCCTCTGATAAATACTCAGTTTGGTGAACTCCCATATAAAGGTACTAGTAATTTACTATGTTAACCTTCCCAGGGACATTTTTATTTTTTTGTTTATTTATTTTAGAGAGAGAGAGAGTGTGTGTGTGTGTGTGTGTGTGTGTGTGTGTGAGTGAGTGTGAGTGTGAGTGGGGCAGGGGCAAAGAGGGAGAGAGGAAGACACAGAATCTGAAGCAGGCTCCAGGCTCTGAGCTGTCAGCACAGAGCCCGATGCAGGGCTCGAACTCACAAACGCCATGACCACTCTGAGCAGAAGTCGGACACTTAACCGACTGAGCCACCCAGGCGCCCCGGTACATTTTCATTTTTAAAGATGGCTGCAATGTTTAATCCAAAGGTCGAGGCATTGTGATATTTGCTGTCACTTAGGAATTGTGGGCTATGGAGCATTAAAGACAAAACTCCAAAGGGATTTCTTTTCCTCCCATGTACTAGTCTTGCAATTTGGGTAAGTTGCCGCCACTTTGACAGAATGATACATTCCCGTTAGGTTGGACAGCTCAGTGAGAACAGCACATTTCCCCCATTCAATTAGGCTTCCATTCTTTATACATAAAACTGGATTTGAAACAACTCCACCTAAAATAAAATTTAGAGCAAGGTTTACAGAAACATGGACACCTACCTGCAAATCCCCTCAAATTTTATCAAGCATTGACTCTACTGTGTTCGTCAACCCCGAGCAGACGGATCACAATTTAAATATTTCTTGGCTTGTCTGCGGAGTATCGAGTCTTGTCCAGAGCTTGGACCCTCCTCCTCCCTTCGCCCCAGTCAACTCTGCCAGTTTTTCAAACTGCTCAAATCTTTCTGCAGCCACGGCTTTTAAGTGAGTCTTTTTTTTTTTTTTTTTTTTTTTTTATTGCTTTGGGCATGTTTCTTCTCCTAGCCAGTGCTCAGAATTTTAACTATCTAACCATTCAATTTCTCTCTGTCTCTTTACATGGGGGAAAAAGTGGATTTCTGTTCCACACAGTTTGGCAAAGGCTCGCAGGGAGTGAGAGATTACAGCCAGAGGTACATCTGCACGTCGGCAGAAAGAAGGTCTGGGACAGTGCTTTTTCAATCAGAAGGGAGTCATTTTTCCCCTCTCCGAGGAGAGAGTCTCCTCCCTCCCATCAGATATTTGGCAACTAGATGCTGATTAATTATGGAGGCCGCATCTACACACAATGGGTTTTCTTACCAACAATCCTAGCAGGCTTCCAGTTCATTCCTGAATGTGCTTTTTATTTTTAAAAGAGCTACCCTCCTTTCCCAAAGCATACATTAAAAAAAAAGAAAGAAAAAGGAAACTAGAAAAATAGTTAAAAGTACAAAGGATAATTTTTAAACAAATGACTCTACCACAATTTCTACTATTAGAAAAGCAAGCACCAGTGGGAGAGTATTTTCAGGGACAGGGAAACGTTGTGAGTACCCTTCAAATCAGAACACCGAGCCAAACAGTTTTTCTATTGGATCATCATGTCAGGTATCATTCCTAATATCCTCTGGCCAAGTACAGAAATCTACTTTATACTGGAAAGGTAAGGCAGCGTAGGCATCCTTTCTCTGTACCCCAAATCCTTCCCCCCCATGTGCCTAGTAGAGATAGCATATCCAGTTCATTATTAGTAAGTTCCTTTTTCTAGTTTGACTCATTACTGACAATTTCCATCTGTTTTCCGAGACATATGAGGTCCCCAATACAATCACTCCAGGAAAGCTAACCTGGAAACTGCCTCATGGGTCACACTCTCGTTTCTAAGGAGCTCAACGTACAACGCAGCCAGTGCTAGAAGCAGTAGATGACAAGAAGTATAATTATGGGTTCTCCAAGATAAGCTAAATTTGCGAGTCTGGGCTGCCAATCACTACGTTAACTAGAATCCCATCCCTGCATCGGGGGCAATCCTGGAACCTGACACATGGGCAGTAGCTCTGTGATATCAGTGGCAATTTGCTATGTGAAATTTGGGGGCAATCCGAATGAAGAAGTGTGTACTTGAGTTCTGAGAAGCTACCCTTACACAGCCTGCCTCCCCAAGTTCATCTGTCTCCACTCTCCCAGATAATAACACACACCTCATGGGCCACTCCAACTCTCAACTGTGATAAACCAGTAGAGGAAGTTCACACACACATGACATACTCCCATGGACATACTTAGGGACGACACAGTTCCCGGCACGCCAGCTCTTCATGGGGCCCTCTTCTCTAAATTCTCATTGATGGGGCACCTGGGTGGCTCAGACGGTTAAGCGTCCAACTTCAACTCAGGTCATGATCTCACGGTTCGTTGGTTCGAGCCCCGAGTCCGGCTCTGTGCTGACAGCTCAGAGCCTGGAGCCTGCTTCGGATTCTGTATCTCCCTCTCTCTCTGACCCTCCCCTGCTCACGCTGTGTGTCTCTCTCTCAGAAATAAATTAAAAAAAAAAAACATTTAAAAAATAAACAAATTCTCATTGAAACATACTGAAATGCAACCAAGCAAGAATGACACTGTTGTTACAAAGGATAACCTTGAACCCATTCTGACTCACAACTCAAGTAAATCATTCAGCAATTTTGGGTAAGTTCACTACAATCAGTAACAAATTATTCACATTATTCACATTACACTTTACAGCCAATCGCAACACATCAGCTGTGGTTTACAGTGGCTGCTCTCATCCCATCAGTGACCCAGCTTGCTCTCTCCTACCTCTGCACATGCTCTTCCCTCTGCTTCAAAAGGTCTAACCCCCCACACAATAAGTCCACAAAATGAGTTTGTTGACTGACTGAAGGAATGAATGACTGAAGTGCTTGCGACCTCAGATAAGCCTCCCACTGCGTTTATAACGTTCACACGCTGGGCCGCAGCCATGCACAGATGAAAAATAATATTCTGTTACGAATAGGAAAGTCGACTGTGATTATGGGCAATTTTCTTAACCAGAAAGCATTGAGAAGTAAGATGCTTTGCAGCTGTACATTTTTATTAAGCGCTGCTTGAATAAACATAAAACATGTTTGCCAGGAGAGGGTAAAAAGACGGATGCAAATTTTAGTCAGAAAATAGGTACATTCATTCTTTTTTGCATTTGCCTTCAAATGTGCCCCTACAACAGCAATTACCCTTTGATGTCATTTCTGACCAGCGACAGGGACCAGAAATAGTGACTTAATTTAGGCAGGAGGTTGCTGGTACATAATATGGCTACTGTGCCTGGAGTCTTTCTTGGTCATAAATGCAGTAAGGAAGTATGACATAACGTTGCGATGGTAAATCACAGCCCCAGCCATTTTGGTTGGCAGAATTTGAAAGACAAACATTACTTCAGGAGCAGAGAAGACGTGCCTAATTACCTCCGTGCCTGGGCTGGGTTCCCTGCCGCTCGTGTCATTCCTGGACTCAGGTGTGTCCACACGGCCAGGGGCCACGTGTGCAGGGGCCAGCGTGGCTTGGTGAGGAAGGAGGTGCCAAGAGATGTGAGGACTGGCAGCCTCACCCCTGCAACCTCCTCTCCAGGGAAATCAGGCAGCTGAACCAAAGGATAGGGTAGCCTCCAGGGGCCCTGAGGAGCCTGGAGGGAGGGAGACTGGGGAAAAGGGACAGGCTGGTCACAGCTGCTCGGCCTTGGCCGAGGTGGGGAGCTGAACCCACCGCATTTGTGCATCGCCACCATTTTTCCCTCGGGCCAGCCCAAATCACGGCCTGCTTCCCTCCTGAGGGCTCCCTGTCTGGCTGTAGCTGAGGCCCAAATGGGTTTGGGGACTCACCCACTCCAGGTGACCACAGTCTAGAGGGCAGAGTCATCTTTGCTGGCTTGCTTGCTTGCTGCGTTTTCAGGGCTCAGAAATTTCCATTGCTTTGTAGCTTTTGTTTTACACTGATAGACCCAGGCCACCCTCCTCGCCTGCTACTGTTTTCTGTCTATCTCTCTCTCTCTCTGTCTCTCTCTGTCTCTGTCTCTCTGTACCTTTATGGAAATCGACTGCCCTCTCACAGTAGAGTAGGTTATAGTAGAATCCCGGGGAGGCTTTCCTTGGGCTGCTCATCCCTTTGCCAGAGCTTTTCTTTTTTCCTCACCAGTAGCCCCTGAATCCCATTAATCCCCCAGATTGCTTTCTTTTTAATTGCCACGACACACACACAGCATAAAACTTACATTTAAAAAAAAATCCAAAATGCAGGGGTGCCTGGGTGGCTCAGTCAGTTAAGCATCCGACTCTCAATTTTGGCTCAAGTCATGATCTCATGGTCGGTGAGATGGAGCCCCACGTCCAGCTCTGCACTGACAGCGTGGAGCCTGTTTGGGATTCTCTCTCTCTCCCTCCCTCTGCCCCCCCCCCGCTCTCTGTCTCTCTCTCAAAATAAATAAACTTAAATAAATAAATGAATAAATAAAGTCCAGAATGCATGTATTGGGATAGTTTCCCACTCATCTTGCTTCAGGGTGCTTTTAGTGCTGCTTCTATCTGAGGGAATGTTCATCTGTAAGCCTTGCTTTTCCTACCGCAGGGGACAGTGGAGCAGCCCGCACAGAGGACTCGGGTCTGCGCATGGCTAAAGATGGCGGTGATTTTGTAGCACCCTGGGCACTTCCTGTCCACAAAGTAGGAGTTGGGGCTCAGCGCCAGATGCTTCTTCTTGCGCTTCCTCTTCCCTTCTTCCGGGGGTGGCTGGAGGAGGGAGGTCTTTGGTGAGGGGCATGTTCTTGTGGGGAGGCTGTCGCTGCCAGAAAGGCCATGATATTGACACTCGAACCATTTTTAAGTGTCCAGTTCAGTGGCATGAAGCGCATTCACGCCATGGTGGGCCATCCGTCTCCAGATCTCTCTTCTTCTTCCCAAACCGAAGCTGTACACATGAAACAACTCTCCTTTTGCCCCCACCTCAATTCCCTGACAACCACCATTCTACTTTCCATCTCTATGAATGTGACTACTCCAGGTCCCCCATATAAGCATTTATTTTTTTTTGTAACATTTCATTTAGGCGAATGTCTTCAAGGTTCACCTGTGGTGTAGCAAGTGTCAGAATTTCCTTCCCTGTTAAGGCTGAGTAGTATTCCATTATGTGGGCGTACCACCTTCTGTTTACATTCATCCGTTGACAGACACTTGGGTTGCTTCTGCCTTCCAGTCAGTCTTTCCCTTGAACTGTGGAAACACTAGGAACAAACGCCCAAAGTGCTGAAGCTCTCAGGTACCCCATCCTCTGCTCTCGAGAATCGTCATCTTTGATCATCACGGCCCCCAGGTATTGATTATACAGATCAGTTGCTAAGTGGTTGGCTTACTTTTATAGTGGTTAATTTTCACAACAATGCAGTGAGGTGAGTCTTACTCCCATTTAACAGAGGGTGATACTGAGACTCAGACAAGATAAGCAACTTGCCTAGAAGGTCAAACGGTTAAGAAATACAGAGCTTGGGGCGCCTGGGTGGCTCAGTGGGTTAAGCGTCTGACTTCAGCTCAGGTCATGATCTCACAGTTCGTGGGTTCGAGCCCCGCATCTGGCTCTGTGCTGACAGCCAGCTCAGAGCCTGGAGCTGTCTTCAGATTCTGTATCTCCCTCTCTCTCTGACCCTCCCCTGCTCATATTCTCTCTCTCTCTCTCTCTCAGAAATAAATTTAAAAATTAAAAAAAAAAAAACCAAAGAAATAGCAGAGCTTGGATTTGAACCCTCCAATCAGGCCTGTCTGACTCCAAAGGCCCTACTGAGAACCACCACTTGTAGTGTCTACCCAAGGCCCAGAAACCCTTTGCCAACAGTTACTACTTCCTTCAGTTTGGTTTC